GGAACTACTTCAGACTTTGCCTTTCTCTTACGATCAAACTTTTCGATCATGGCATGCCTTTCGTTTCCATTGCCTATATCCATAGAAGTCTGGAAGGCAGATTCACCAATCAACTTTTCTTTTTTAGTGCACCAAATCATTGCTGATTCAGCAGCAATAAGCATGTAGGTGAGATCTATAAGGGTCACGTCGTGGTTCATCATATAGTACTCTCTTACGAACTCACTATATGAGTTAGGAAGCGACTGAAGAACCCAGTCAACAGCCAGCTCCTCACAGACAATGGATCCCAACATTCTCAACCTATCAATGTGTGACTTCATCTCTAGGACGTGTGCACACACCGACTTTCCTTCTTCATGTTTACTTGCCAAAAGGGCTTGAGTGAGCTTGAACTTTTCAAGCCTTCGAACTTGTGGGTTAGGGAGAATAATTGGAGGAGGTGGAGGAAGTGAAGCATGATCTCTTGTTCCTCGATCGAATCGTGGAATATCATCTTCATGTGGAAAACTTGTTCCACGGGATTCGGGAATACCATAGTTGTCATACTTTGACATCTACAAAACGGGAGAAAACAAATTCAAGTTAGTTGATTGATTGAGTCCTTAATAAATCACATAAATGAGATATTAAGACTAGGACCCAACACAATATGCTACAACCTAGAAAAGGGATGTCGTAATCTCGTTGCAGAATATTTGAAGGTAGGTAAATGACGATTTACCAATTTCCACCATGAAAAACGAAAAAGAAATTTAAGTTTTAAATCTATGAAAACTCCTAGATCCTTTGAGATTCATTGAACTTTTCAATGGCATGTTTAAATCTCGATATGCCCCTCTAGTTTGTGACTGGGATACCGAGGATCACAAAGTGGGTGTGAATAACCATGCAAACTTACATGGTGCCCCCACATGTTACAGTCACCTATTCGATGTGCCGGTTAACCACACACGCTCCACCGAACTATGACAAACATTGAGTCACCCTTTGCTACCTTTGCTTAGAACCATTTAGTGTGCCGGTTAACCACACACGCTCCACTAACGTCTTCGCAAGGGTACAAAGTGTAATTTCATGGAATTGCATCAATTCACTTTTGCCTAAAGTAACTAAGATTGGGAATTTTGTAAAAGCATTTAGTTACTTTTGTACTTCATTATACTTATAATGGAAGGTTTCTGTCCTATCCTACCCGTTCGGCTAACGACCATCAACTAGTCAAGAGTGCGGTGGGTAAGAGTGGATACCCATTCAATCGTCATTTTATAGGCAATTTCCTTAAACACCCCTTATAGACCAGCTTCGTGAATGAGGCCTACTAACGGTAAGACTGACTTTTACTCATACACATATATAATATTAGACTTTTAATGTTATATATAGTATAGGGTGTATTTTACACTTTTAAAATACTAGGTGGTCAAATTTAATAATTATACTTTTAATTTAATTAAATTATAAACCAAAACTTTATGGATTTATTAAATCTCTTTTAATTATACACTTTAATTTATTAATAAAACCATAAGGGTGTGATTTGAACTTTTCAAAACAATACTAGGGTTTTAGAATTTAACATTTCTAAATTAAACTTTTAATCAACTTTTAAATTCCAAAAACTTGAGGGCAAGTTTTGAAACATTTCAAAACATTAGGGTTTAACTTATTTAAATTTCAAAAACAAAACTTTTAAGTTCAAATTTAAACTATAAAACCTAAAGGGATTAATTTGAAACTTTTCCAAACTTTGTCAAGAATATTCTAGATCACATAATTCAAATAAGGCAATTAACAATTAATTGGTAGTTATCTAATTAGATCTAGTTCAAGTTCTTGCAAGATAATGATCAAATAATTCAAATAACTTAACATTTATCAAATAAGGTAACAATTATCTAATTAGATGACCAAAATCTTTTATTTTGACAAAGATAATCATAAGGAATCAATAAAATTCGTATTTTATTAATTTTAAACAATTATGACAATTATCCTAAGTCAAAATAGGTAAAAATCCCGAAAATCCGCCTAACTGACGCTCGAACTCGCCGAGTTCCTCTATGGACTCGCCGAGTTGGAGCTACTCGCCGAGTCCACATTGGAACTCGCCGAGTTCATCAGTCAGGGGGCCAAAAAATCGATTTTGTAACAAGAATGAATATACTAGGCATCAATGCAATAGAAACCAATCAAGGCTCTGATACCACTGATGGGTTTTGGCCACAAGAACATCCTATGTGCTCATGCAAACCCTAATGCTTGGATATAGGTTTCTCTATTGTACATGCAATTCATCCAAGAATTTAAACCCTAGATCTAACATACAATTGATCATATTAACTTATGAATGGGGTTTAAATCTTACCTTGATTGTTATGTAGCAATAACAATCTAAAATCCTCCTTGTAATGACTTTAGAAAGCTTAGAGTCACAAGTGTCACTCCTTTAATGGCTTACAAACACCAAGAGCAAGAGGATGAAGAATAAGGAGAGAGGAGGCTGCCCAAAAGGTGTGGAAATCCTAAGGAATAAGTTCACCACGTTTTTGAGTCTCAAGGGTCCTTTAAATAGTGAGGCTATTAGGGTTATCTAACAAGGAAATCCTAATTTGGATGCTTAGGCCCTAAGCAACCCATGGACTCCCTCCTTAGAGGCCTAGGATGATTTCTAATGGGTTTCCCCATACAATTCGTCCACCCCTCTAATATGGAGTCCATTAGCCCAATATTCAACTATCACACAATTGACAGTTCTAGTCCCTTAAGTTTAATTAATGTCTTTTAGCCACAAACTTAATTCTTATTAATTCTTGACTAATATTAAATAAATAATATGATTTCTCCTTTAATATATTATTCTCATAATATATTAATAAATCATAATTAATCCTCTCTCTCCATAATTCATCCTATCAAGTTGCTTTGGTGAAGGCAACCCAAAAGGACCATGCACCATCGGGTCAAGTACATACCAAAATAGTTATGGACTTAGACACTAATCCAACAGGTCCAACGATACAGACCGAACCGGAGGGTCTAACGATACAGACCGGACCGTAGGGTCCAACGATACAGACCGGGCCGACAGGCCCAACGAGCTATGACCGGACCAGAGGGTCCAATGAGCTACGGGACTGGAGGGTGCCGCTGAGACACATCGACCGGAGAGTCGTACTGTAGCCTCGAGTGGCGTATGTGTTGTATGCGGTATTTTGGGGAACTCACTAAGCATTTATGGTTACAGTTGTTGTGTTATGTGTTTCAGGTACCAGCGAGGATCGCAGGAAGGCGCCGGCTTGATCATTACACACACATGAGAGATTTTATACATTATGATCTTGGGCTGTAGTTACAGATTGATATGTGAACAATGAGATTTTATACTATTAATGAATGAAAGTATGTTTTAAAAGTGTGAAAAATTGTTTTGAAATTTACGTCGTTACACAATTGTCATGCAGTCTCGAAGTCATGAAGTTTTAACCTATAATTCCAAATTATAGAGTGAAAACGCTTTCAAAATGCATGATTATTGGCTAATTCTTCTGATGTCTAAATAAACAAAAATTTAATGAGGATGAGTACATAGTAAGGTTAAAGTAATTGATGTTGGTATAAAGAAATGTTTTCTAGAAAGTAAATATATGATGTTATGTGTAATTTATAATTCTGACAGGATCGAGGGAATTTATTCTAATAGAATAATGAAGTATAAGGATAAAAAGCATTATATACGTATCTTATGTGATAACTTTTTAGGTATATGCCACATACATAACCTATGTTGTGACAATGGAAGAACTGCATCTATAGATTTCTTCAAAGTTGGATCCAAATCGGTGATAATCAATTTATGTGTTTTCTAAAAGTTTTCAACAAAGCTCTAAGCAACCATTTGTAAGAAATTCCATCTTCTTTACTCAAAAGTTCATCCCCAAATGTTACACATTTTTTATGGTTATCAACGCCAGTAAACCGAACAAAATGTTGGTTCTATATGCTCAAGGATGATCATAAAATGATATTGCTAATAACATATGATCTTATAGGGTCACATCAATAACAAGTAGACACTATAATAAATATTTTAGTATATGAATTTGATTCATATTAAAAATACTAGAACTCTTGAAATTATTATTTGATAATAATAATAATAATAATAATAATAATAATAATAATAATAATAAAACGTGATTCATAAGTGTATGATTTATTATAAGTTTGGTACTTATATCGTTTAATTATTAAATGATTAAGTTTGTGTGAAATTTATTTATTTCATTTAAAGAGTTAGACTAAATAATAAAACTAACATATATATATATATATATATATATATATATATATTATCTATATATATATATATATATAGGGTAAGGATCAAATGAGAACACCAAAAAGGTTGAGAACGCGAGAAGACTTCTGGACCAATCATTTTGCAAGGCTATATTAGTAATTGTATATTTAATTTAAATTAAAACAACTTAAATTGAAATCTTAATTTCCTAAAATTTAGCGATATTGATTACATTTACCTAAAAAAAATTAACCGATTTTTTATTAATGGATGATAAAAATAATTTGTATTCATTTTTATGTGAAATAAAAAAATCGATTTTTTTAAATTTATAATTCATCATAATATTTTCAAATATGTATGAATAAAACACATTTGTAATTATAAAAATATACGGTTGTAATCGTAAATGAATACAACACAATTTAAAGATAAACTTTTTTATTTTTAAATGAATAAAAAATTAACTACTAATCATGCATGAATATACTGACAAATAAAAAAATCAATACACTAATAATTCTTTTTCAAACACTATTATATTGATAAATAAATCTTCCAAAGTTTGAGTTTATATAATTTTATATTTATATTCATAAATGAATATGTCAAGGCTAATTTATAACATTTATACATAATTATATTCAATATTGATTACACCACTTCAATAGAAAAAGTTACAAAATTCATCACTGTGTCAACCATTTTCTTGAGTCGGTCGCAACCTCATTCTTCTATTTGAATCAAATGGCTTGCGAGCTTGTGTAACGAGCAGTAGTGATATCTAAAAAAATTCCAACATTCATTTTTCTTTGATCAATATCTATAAAATGACAATACTATGTAAATACTATAAAATGATAAAAAAAAATATTAAAATGAATGATTTGTAGCAAAATCATATGCTGTTATAATCATAAATAATTATAACTAGTCATCTAATTGTTTATGTTGCAAATAATTATAATCATAAATGATTATTATCAGTGTCTTCTAATCATATGGACAACAATATTTATAATGAAGTACCATTACCAAGATCAACTTTGAGTGTAACTTTCCCAGTATAAGAACAACAGTTTTGTTCGATGCTTTACGGTTATCCTTATTCGAAACATCAAGCTCTAAATTACACCTGATCAAAACATAAATCATTAATGTATAAAATCATGCAGTTATAATATACTTATATTCATTGATGATTAACTGCAAAATAAGACATTTGACATTGTATTCATATAAGATTACAACTAAATTTATATTGATAAATTAACAGTCACATTCATAATATATATGAACAAGAGTTAGAACAAAAAGAAGGGATGAAAATGTAATCATACGAAATTATGAATCATTTCTCTAAGCTGTTATTAATAGCAAACTAAGATTAATGCATCAGGGGAGAGGAGAAAAGAAGCAGATAGAAGATCAGAATTCTAGTGCTAAAATGGAAACCGCAGTAAACAAAGTATCATAGAGCAATAGATCAAGAATGCTTCAAACCTCATAGATTCTCAGAACATATACAAATTCAATATGGTTTTTAATTAGCTAAAAAAAGAAAACATGTAAGAGTATGAACGTGACCTGCAAAGACCTAATAAACATCCATTAAACAAAACTAAACTTAAATATTAGCTCAAAATAAGTCAAAGATTCCGATTATATCACATTCTTCATAGACACATCAATTATGAGAAAATGTAAGACGATAATTTGGCATATGACGAGCAACAACTTTACATAATTGGATCGACAGAACGAGATACCTGAATCTGAAGAGGGACATCAACGACACCTTTACCCTAACCCTAGCACCGATCTTCATTGGACTTTCTTCTTCTGAAGCGGAAGCCGATGTCGGATCGTCGATGATTGTCGTGGAACTAGAATCCAATGTCGCTGATTTGATACGTGGATTCAAACATGAAGTTGGGGTAAGACGGCAGTGGATAGATTAATGGGAAGAGAGGGAAGAAAAGGGAATTAAATTCATTGAGAGAGGTGTTTATTTTGAAACCCTAGAGAGAGAGCGAGGGAGATAAAGATACGAGATTATGAAAGGAAAGAGGAGAGAGGGTGAGAAATTGTAGGAAATAGGTAAATTTACAGTTCCTATTACGCCCTTCTAGGAATTTAAAAGTTACACTTTAATGCCCGTAGTTTTAGAATTTTTCATAAATCGTCCGTTTAATTATAACCTTAGATCTAAATATTTAAATGGCCCAGATCTATTCTCGCGTTCTCAACCTTTTAGGTGTTCTCATTTGATCCTACACCTATATATATATATATATATATATATATATATATATATATATATATATATATATATATATATATATATATATATGGGGATAGGGAATATACATTAGATCTAAATATTTAAATGGCCCAGATCTATTCTCGCGTTCTCAACCTTTTAGGTGTTCTCATTTGATCCTACTCCTATATATATATATATATATATATATATATATATATATATATATATATATATATATATATATATATATATATATATATATATATATGGGGATAGGGAATATACATTACAGCCCCGCCTAAGCATAAGTACTAAACCTCTATAATATGTCGTTTTAACTTAGTAAAATATATCTGATTTGGTTTTCACTTGGTAAATATATCATCCTCGATAACATTTCTTTCCTCCATTATCATTTTACCAACTCTGTTTTCTTTTCTCCATTATAGTTTATTACTCCACTCTAGTGAACATTACTTTTTATCACTGTCACGAAGGTCAAAGATAACAAATATTCATGCTTCCTTATCAAAACTATTACGTCGATCTTGAATCTACAACTTCAACTGTTAATCTTGAATCCCCTAACCGCAATTTTTATATAGTAAAACGACGTATTTCATGAGGTTTAGTACCTAAGTTTAGGTACGGTTGTAATGTATATTCACTTTTCCCTATATATATATATATATATATATTATATATATATATATATATATATATATATATATATATATATATATATATATATATAAGCTCTTCTTAACCACTTTTGTCTGCGCCCCGCAGACAACGTGCATACTTATATCCCCACAGAGCATTTGTTTTTTTTTCGAAGTGTTCAGATCTAAAAATGTCTGCACGAGGTCTTCACCACGCCGACATGGACTACCCACTTCTCACATCTGCGGGCTTTGGCCTAAACAAAGCCTCGTTTTTTTAATATCGTTCTCTTCTTCAAACGCAGATCTCTATCGTGCCTCCAAACCTTCGACTCCCTTCCTTACTCCACCGCCGATCTTTCGTATCCTCCCCTCTGATCAGCAGTCGTCGTGGCCATCTATTGGCGTTTTTGGCCCTCAATGACGCCGCCTTATTGGAGTTCATTGTCCTCAACGACTTCGTTACCTCCTTCCTGTGTCGGACTTTACTGAAAACTTAGGTCACTATCTTTTTCGTATTTTTTCACTTCTAACATGGAATTGGTGATTAATTTTGTTGTAAAAGTCTCTAATCTAGTGAATTATGTTGTTTCATTTTGCTGAAAATGCTTGTTCTTGATTAAATTTGGAGTTAGATGTTACAAATCCAAAAATAATGTTGAAAATTACCTTTCTTGCTTAAATTTCTTGTTGTCGTTGCTGAAAATCTATAACATTGGTGAAATCAATCTTTTTTCTTGATTAAAATATAAAAGTATGTGCTGAAATATGAAATAATGATTAGAATGTGGTGATTCTTTTTGAAAATAATCTTTGTTGCTTGAAATTGCTGTTGAATGTGTTGAAAGTTGTTATTTGGTTTTGGAAATATTAAATAATGATGTTAATTTGTTGATGATTGTTTTTTTTGTTGAAATGGTTATGATATACATGTTAAATTAACTTTTGCTAACATGTGTATGATATATAATACCTTATGAAATCAGACTTGTGAATGTTGTTGCAATACCTTATGAAATCTAATTTGTCTACGATATAATTGTTATTAGAAATGGGAGAGAAACAACAATCGACCAATGAGAATTTAAAATGCTTATTGGACACTTATATTGAAGAAGTAGAGACTGTGGGTAGAAAAGGATTAAGTTTGTAGAAAGATTCATGGATAAGGCTTGGAAGAGTTCTTAAGGAAAATATTCGCATTGATATAAATAAAAAAACAAATGAAAAACACATATGACAATCTGAAAGCCAAATACACAGGATGCGTATATTAGAAAAACAAAATAGGCAATATATACAATTTTCATATAAACACTTTTAACTTAACAGCCAAGGAGTAGGATAATTTTAAGAAGGTACACACACAAACACACACACAAATATATATATATATATATATATATATATATATATATATATATATATATATATATATATATATATATAAACATTAATGTTTGAGGTTTCCAAATATTCATATACTATTTTTTGTTACATTTGGTTTTAGGGGTATCCGAAGACTGCTTCATCAAGAACAATTCCACTACCTTTTCTAGATCGTTGTGCACGTCTTTTTGATGGAAATAGTGTCACTGGTAATTTTAGGAATTACTCAACCCAATCAACATCAGTAGTTGGAGCATCTTCTTGTCATGTTCCTCCACTTCAGATTACGTGTACCCCTTTTCTTACAATAGATGATGATGGTGATGAAAATTTCCATTATGCTAGTGAACCTTTTCATGAGTTGCCACCTTCTAATGCTTCACCTTTTGCTGCTTCACCCTTTGGTAACCCCAACAAAGGGGCTAAACCCTCAACTCTTAGAGCTCCTGGTGCCTTTCCTTCTACTTCTTGACCTGATGGAACTTCTATTACTACTGACGATTTAGCATTTGAAATGAAAAAAGCTCTAAAACGTTTGACTAATGGGTATACAATTTCTCAATGTTTAGAGAAGTTAGAGGTTCTTGAGTTAGGCCCTACAGATCCTTTACACTTTGTTGCATATCACATTTTTAGAGGGACATGAACATGAGAGAGATATGGATGCATTTGCTCGATGTTCCTGAGATATTAAGAGGATGGATTGAGATTACAGGTACAAGTTTAAGAGTTTTAAAGGACGGAAAGATTGTCTGATTATTTTTCTTTTGTTGAGATTATTTGTTAGGTCTTTTTGCTATTGTTAGGAACTATTTGTTGTTATTTTTCTATTTGGAGTATGGTACAAGTAATGTTTTTTGCTACTTGAAATATGATTAATGTAATGTTATTTTGCTATTTGAAATAACAATGTAGTCTTTTTTGATGATTCTGACGAGGTTCCAACACATGGTACTGCAGCAGACCGTGAATATATGACTCTGTAACATAATGAAAGTGTTGAGAAATTGATGAAAAATATGGAATGAATTATTTTAAATGAAATTGTTATCATAAAAGCAATTTTTTTATTGTAAAATTAATTTAGTTGCATGATTTTTTTTCAATGTTGTATGCCTATTTTTATTAAAATTTTGGTGTTGAAAAATCATTTTTAGTTTGTAAAATCACTTTATTTAAAATTCAGTTTATTTCAGCAGCCTGTAGTAGTTAAAAAACAAAAAGACTTTCGTTTTGATTGCTAAGGCTAAAAAGTATTTTATCGCAAACTCAATTTTTACGTCACACAGCGTCGTGCCGATTTTGTCGCGAAACTTCGATAGGTCATAACTTCTTCGTTATAAGTCAGATTTCAACGTTCCTTATACCCCTGATATCCTTGCTACGACTACTTCAACTTTCTTCATAGATATTGGGTCTATCTATTATTTTATTTTTGATGCTTGTTTTTATTATTATTTTATTACGTCGTTATAAACGAGTATAATGTACATAAATCACATAATATTCAAATAATTCCTCTTTATTACTTCAAAATAGGTTACAATTATTGACCCTAACTATTATATTATCATACTAATGCTTAGCCAGAAACACGGACGTTACAGGGGCCCATGGCATTCCAAGGGGGAGTCCATGTCATTCCAAGTCAAGTCCATGGGGGTGTCACAACTAGGAATTCTGATGCTTTGTAAACACTTAACAAGGATAACATTGTAACTAAAACTTGAAAGCATGAATGATGCTTATTCAATGACAACAAAATTCCATCAAACACTCTATACAAACACTCAGATAGTCAACAAAAGGTTGGAAACCCTAGAAATCCCGGTTTAAGTCCAACATGGACTAGGATTTCCTTATTGGGCCTAATGGGCCAATAAACTTCCAATTTGACTATTTTGGGCTTAGAACTCTTAAATGGGCCCTCATTGGACCCAATTTCATGAAACTTAACCTTTTGGGCCATAATGGGCCTAAAATGGATAGGTTTACCTTAATGGCCTTGTTGGGCTATAACAATCCAATAAGCCCTATAGAGCCACAAATCCATTCTTTCATGCAAGATTGGGCCGTAATCCACTACAAAGTTCTAATGGGCCAAAAACTATCAATTTGGGCTTCACATTACGAAACTCAAGCACTAAGGCCCAAATCTTTTCTCTTCCTTCTCCCTCTCTCGGCCCAAGTAGAAAACAAAAAAAAAGGAAAAAGATGTAATTAGGGAGGGTTGACCTTGGAGGTGCCACCTCCTTATTACACCCCATATTTCCATGCAAAGATCCAACATATATCCATAATAGTCATTTCATCACCTCTCTCTTCCCTTCTCTTTTTCTTCTTCGGCCGAGAGCACAAGGAAAACACACACACAACATCAAACTTCTTCCAAACTCCCTCAAGTATTCTCCTCCTTCCCACTCCAAAATCTCGAAATTTTACTTGTGCATCAAGAGGATTTCAAGAAAATATCATCACTTCTTGGTAAGTTATACATATCCAAGGATTATATAACTCTTTTCTCATGATTAGATCCCTTCTCTTAAACATTTGTGGTAATCATACTCCTAGAATCACCTCAAGTTCGAGATCCACATCAAGTGTTGCTAGGACCAAAAGTCTTCTTCTTATCTTCTTCAAAAACCAAAACAACTAAGCAAGGTGAGTTCATACCCCTCTATTTTTGGTTTTCACATGTTTTATGGGGGAGAATACAAGTAAAATATGTAGATCTATGTGCATTTGTATGTTATGTGTGATTTCTTGTGTTTATGTGTTAAATATGTGCCAAAAATAAAAGATATATCGAGATCTATAGTTCAAGAAGGAAAAATATGTGATCTAGGATGTATTACACTTAACAAGTTAAGAAAAATTATCATCTAAGGTTATAATAAGCATGTTACAACATAAAACTCATTTTTGGACTATTTTTGTCAAATAAACAAAAGTTGGGAAAAAGTTGTCATTTACGGCTTTTACAAGGATCAAAAGGGTCAAAACAGTTAAAATAGAAGTTTTTATGAACATTATACTTTTCAAAGGACTAAAAATGTAAATTGTAGCCTATTGGGCTAAAATTTTGGGCTTTTCCGCCCATAGGCCCAAATTTGCGAAAAATATGGGTTTTAAGGGGCCGAAATGGTAAATTTCTCAAAACAGTGGGTATAAAAGTAAATAAATCTATTTCAGGGGTTAAAATGACCCTTTTTGCCAAAAAGGATAAAAATTTAAAGTTTTTTGAATTTTGGGTCAAATTTATAAAAGTTGTGAAAAGTCTGAATTATAAATGAAAATCTTTCTCCTAAAGGGGATGAAACTGCCAAAAAGTGAACATTGGGCTGAAAACATTATTTAAATAAGTCTTGGGCCAAAATGTCAAGAAAAATAGTTTAAGGACCTAAAATGTCATTTTTTATAAAAAGGGACTAAAAAGGTCGTTTTTTGTTGAGATTAAAACCCTAATTGAGATTTGATGAACAAGATGCGGAAAATAAGAACAAACACATATATGAAGATTATGTCGAATGATCACTCGATTTATTCATAACAAGAGGAATAAATTACACTTTCAGCATAGACTAAAGAATCTAACACTACATAAGAAACCTCACGTGGCGGCTACATTTTGCCTCACTCTCTTAACCCTAATTATGAATAATACATGACTATTTATAGGGAAAAGACAAGTCTTGGGCTTTTAACCTACCCTTCATCAAGGGGCCCATTGCCATCATCCATGGAGTGCTTTGAAACCCTACAATCTCCCCCTCAAAGTATGGAATGGATGACAATGCTTTAACTTCCAAAACAAGCATCTAGCAAATAAAAAGATCTGCAACGAGGAATATATGAAGCAATCCACGAATCTTGATTCTTCAATAGTCTTCAAACACGGGCTCTAGGATATATAAATCAAGCACTGAAGTAATGTCTTTAAACTTCATTTTCGAATGTAATCCCAAAGAATCTTCATGAAAACCAAACCCGCCATAAAAACCCATTTCAAAACAAAGAAACTGAATCACTTCTTGTCTTTGAAGAGCTCCCCCTCCA